ACGATCCCACTGAGCAGCTCGAAACTCCTCATCATCACGCCTCTGCTGCCGTTTTGCCAACTCCAGTCTCTCCCGCCTATCTTCTTCCTCCCGTAGGTCACGTCGCCTGGCAAGCTCGAGTTTCTCGCGTGCAAGTTCTTCGCTGGTTTTGGCTTTTTTTGCGATAGCTAAAACTGCCTGCCGAATGAAATCTTGAGATTCGCTTGCGGTTACGTCCTCGGCACTGTCAGACTTTCGAATTTTGTGCTTCCTGGCCGGAATGCGATCGTCGTCGGAAAGTGGCGCCCTGGACGTGTACTCTCGCTCACGCATAATACTCGAGTCGTTATGGGCACTGGAATGGCATTTTTTAGGTCTAGTCTTTGACTTGAGGTGGAACATGGAAGGACGTACACAGTGTCAATCAACTGATAGATCTTGGAGTTTTCGAACGCCTCCAGCGTGGGGATCGACCACCCGTACTGAGTTCTCTTACGTTTCGTGCTGTTCTTCCCTTTTACGTCCGCTTTGCCGTCACCCTCACTGTCGGCACCATCGCTTGAATCGACATAAATCTGGTCAGCATCAGCATCTCCGTTCCCACCTCCTGTGTGTTTCTGCTTCAGTCGAACGGCTTTATACTTCTTCCATGCCTGATCGTGCCAATAGCACCTGATCTGCTTCGGTGTGATACGGTCGGGGGGTTCTAGAATCCTTTGCGAAATCTAAAGAGGTATGTATGTAAGCAGTCCACAAAGGATCCGATGTATAAAACACTGACCGTGATAAAGATGAACTTCTGCGAGGCACGGAACTGGTCCCATCTGACTGGATCAGTGATGTAGGTGACAACCTTGAGCTTGTCGTCTTCTGTTAACGCAACGCCCTCCTTCTCGTCGTCAGTACCATGATCCCTTTCCTCCTTTCTGACCTCTTTCTGTACATCAGCAAGCTTGATCTTCGCAGCGTCTTGGTCTCGAGTGTTCAACTTGTCGATTTCGGCATCCGAGTTCCCGCCGCCTCGACGGTTTGCAGCACCACTCCGGCTCCCGGTGCCTCTCTTCTTCTTGAGCCTCGTCGAATTCTCCTTGCCTGCTGACCTTGTCGGACCGTCGACCGAAGCTGGCACCTTGGATTTGGCAGGCGGCGTGGGTGTAATAGGTGGATCCGGGGTGGGAGCGAAGGCTAGTTGCTGGGTCTGGAGAGTGGTTGCAGGTGGGTAAGGAAGTCGATGATATGCTGTCAGTGAGGGAGCGAGTCCTGGAAGGGGTGAGCCGCTGTGAGGATATCGAGGGTTGAGACCAGCCTGTGAGTACAACATCTGGTGAGGACCTTGGTTGTTTTGGGCGCGGTGTGGAGTCGAGAACCTGTCCGTCTCGTAGTCCTGTGCAGGTGCTGTAGACATGAATGGGTACTGTGTTTGCAGGGGTCGTAGTGGCCCTGGACTTGCTTGTTGGTGAAAGAGAACGCGAGAAGGTTGAGAGTTAGCGTCCGAGGCAATGTTGACCATGCCTGGGAAGCTTGTTGCCGAATACATATCCTCGGGGAACGTAAATTCCAAGTGCGCCATCCCTTGCTGTACGGCCGACGCGTCGAGCGAATGGACTACACGTCGTGAAGTCTTCAACACCAATGATAAGATAGCGCGCTGCGCTCTTACGAATTTCGACTTCCGATTGGGTTGAGACTCCGATTTCTTACACACCCTTGGCCCTTCTTGGCATCAAGGCATATATTGCGCACAGAAAAATATACTCGCAGATTTATATCGAAATTGAGTAGGACTAATGGTAATCACAGCTTGAGGAAATCACTACATTTTTTGCACCATCAATCTTACGGTTGAGCTCCGTTAAAGCAGCCTTCCAATCCAGAACCCACCTACTTCATCTAGACGCAACATAATAGCAGTAAGACTTGTATGTTGCTTGTATGTGACGGTCCCTTGACTCGGACGAGGTTGTTTTCAGGTCGATAGCCCCTGGGTCGGAGTGTCCGGCCTCCGCCAAGCCCACGATCACATTTTCGCACGAGGGTTCAATCAGGGACATTCTGCTTTGGCTCTAGGATTGAATGAGAGCCCCACCGTCATTTTAAGATAATCTCTTTCTCAAACCGCCATTGACATCCCGACGTTGGCCCTAGGCATCGATCAGAATGGTTTTATCGCGGCGCGGAAGTGGTAGCATCAACCTACCGACGGGTCAGACGTTGGCGATCCATACGAGGACTCACGATGAGGAAGATCTACCTCATGCTACCAAGAAGTGTGTCGTTTTGATTTCAATCAGGGCCTTATAAAGACTGACTTGGAACCTATCTGCGCTTTTCAAACCCATCCAGGACCATGGCTGATCATCTCAGGAAATATGAGAGTTTGTGAGTACAAGCCGTTTTGCCTCTTGTTCATTGCTTAAAGTCGAAGGCTAATCTATTGTGCACTATGCCGTTTAGATTCACTCTAACCCCGCAGAGGATGCGGATGATTGTCGAGGCCTTTAAGGACACTCTTGAACTTGGATTAGAAAAGCCAGGACAGATCGTGGTGCGTATCGCTGACGTTTTCTACATTGCTCTTGATACACCTGGTTGCTCCGCGTCTTCATTCTCCGGAACAGTTATCGTCCTGACTTTCTCCAGAGACGCGACTATGGCTTGAAAATTGTTGGATTTTGGAACTCGGTTTGTACGACATTGTCGTCCAGAACGTCTCTCGCCCGCTCTACCCTGCTGATATTTCCTTGCGTTTCGCGTTGGCTGTGGTCACCATGTGATCCTTACATACAATCTTTCTCTCTTGTCAATCTCTTGATGTATCATTTGCGGTCCCATTTTGGCGATACGCGACTCTTTCCGTGATCATTAATTATTGATTCCTGTTTTGTTCAGCCCATGATACCCACTTTCGTTTTCGGCTGGCCGACTGGCCAAGAAAAGGGCGATTACCTTGCTGTCGACCTCGGTGCGTCCCAATGTGTATGATAAATCCAGGACGAAAAACTGAATGGTATATATGTTTTCCTAGGAGGAACCAATCTCCGAGTCTGCCTTGTGACCGTACAAGGGGACGGCAAATTTGAGATCTCACAATCAAAATACCGCCTTACTGAGGAACAAAAGCATGACGATGGTCAAAAGTTATTTGACTTCTGCGCGGAGTGTCTCAAGACATTTATCGACAACAACATGGCGGACCACGGTGATACGTTCAATCTCAAGGATGGTGCAAAAATCCCCTTGGGATTTACAGTCAGTACTCTTCTAACTGAGTGCTCGGTTGACCCTCATATACTTTCCCTATCTTAGTTCTCGTATCCCTGCTCGTAGGTTCCGCATTACGTTGACAATAGTGAACAGGATCAACGAATTTGCATTTCCAGACAAGATCGAATTGATCATGGCGTGCTCATCCGCTGGACCAAAGGTTTCGGAGCGACCAACACCGAAGGCCAAGACGTTGCTGCGATGTTCCGAAAATCACTCGAGAAATGCGCACGTCAATCCGTTAATATTTCTCACGCGCGTCGATACTAACACTTCATTGCAACAGCAACTCCCAGTGGAACTGACAGCGCTCATCAACGATACCACCGGTACACTACTTGCATCACACTACGTTAACCCTCGCACGAAGATCGCGTGTATCTTCGGGACAGGATGTAACGCAGCCTACATGGAACATGTTAAGGATATCCCAAAGTTGAAGGCCCTCGGTATTGATGAGGGCTGTGATATGGCCATTAATTGCGAATGGGTGAGATAATTTTGTCTCCCCCTCGTTCGGGATTGACCTTTGATGCGAGGCAGGGCGCGTTTGATTCGTTTGAGCATGAGCACCTACCCAGAACGAAATATGATATCACTGTCGATGAGACGTCCAACAAGCCTCAAGAACAAGCATTTGAAGTGAGTACGATCATACACTAGATAGGTGCCCGCGTCATCTAACGGCCCTGGCGTGTCGTTCAGAAACTGATCTCCGGACGATACCTTGGCGAAATCCTGCGACTCGTGATTTGCGAGCTTATAGATGAAGGTGTTCTCTTCCTCGGACAGAATACCTACAAGCTCGAAAACCCATACGTCTTCGACACCGCTTTCCTTTCTCTCATGGAGAGGTTCGTCACCTTCTTCTTGGAATCCTAACCTCGTAGCCACTCAACTTGTTCTGTTATGTCAGTGACCCAACAGACGAACTGCTCATGATCATTGGAATCTTCTCACACTTCTTCGCCGTCGAAACGACGCTTGCAGAACGCCAGTTCTTCCGCGCACTTGCCAAGCTGATTGGCCGACGCGCTGCTCGGCTGAGTGCGTGCGGTATTGCAGCCATCGTGAGTAAAATGGGATACCTTGAGGAGGGATGTTCGGTCGGAGCGGATGGTTCGCTATACAATGTGCGTTTTAGTGTCGTTTTTTTCGCAGGATTCTTACCTGCCGTAGAAATACCCTGGATTCGCGGACAGGATACACGAAGGACTGGTAGACATCTTCGGCGAGAGAGGACGGTGAGCTTTTTACTTTTCCGTCAGGATCGTTTGCTCATGGACATATTTGTGCAGGAATATTGTCACCCATCATGCTGAGGACGGAAGTGGAGTTGGAAGCGCTATTATCGCCGGTTCGTACATCCGTTGCCAATCAATTTCGGAGTTGATCTGACATGGAATTGGCCCTCTTTACAGCGATGACGAAGAAGCGAAAGGATGCAGGGTTATACGTAGATCTTTGAAGGGCTACTTACGCTCGGCTTTTTCTTGATTATAGATTTATCATCATATGAATCTTTGTGGTCTTGTGGGACCCCTAGATGAAGAAGAAATCTGGAAGTCTTTTCTTTGTACTGGCCTGTAGCAGCGCCAATAACATAAAAGCTTGTAGAGTACTTGAAGACACAACCCCTTGAATATTGAATCACGAACGCGCTTCAGCGCAGCAACACTTTATGCGAACAGGACGTGGATAAATATTAAATTACTCGCGTGCGTGTCTCGGAGTCATTGGTACATACACTGGGGTCTGCTGGGATGGCCGAGTCGTTAAGGCGAGTGATTTGAATAAGCCTCTTATCAAGGCGAATTATCACTTGGTGTTTCACCGCGTAGGTTCAAATCCTGCTCTCAGCGTTTGTTTTGTCGCATTTTTGTTGCCAAGACTTACAATGCCATTCCTTTATCGTCTTGGAGTTCGCCTGGTCATTACGTTTCATGACTATCACTTTCATAGACAATAAAGCTGGCCGGTGTTGTTAGATAGCGCTGGAAACAGTTGTAACTTGTGTAGTTGTAAATGTCGATTTCATAAAGAGGTCAGCGGGCTAAGTGACAATCTTGCTTGGCTCGGTGTTCCTCTCTCCTTCCACCCAGAACTTATCAGTACCCGGAAATCAACCATGATCTTCTTGAACTCCCAATCGCAATCTCGGTAAATATCCTGAGGGAATCTCAATCTTTGCATCCTTCAATTTCCAGGTACTCATAGAACGGACACAACCACGTCCTTTTTGCGGCTTCTGTCATCGCGCTTATTGTCGGTTACTGAGATCGCCGCAAGTGATTGAAGAGTGACATGGACAGGTTTCTGTGCGGATTTTTTGATTGCCTAGACTTCTACCCACGGAAACGCTATGATGGATGTAAGAGTGGGTGGAGCTTCGGAACGATCATGGGACTCTTCAGTATTTATTTGTCGTACTTACCACATCTCACGAACATCGCCCTTGCACAAGTAGCGGCCCCTGACTACTTGCCCAAAATAGATGATTTTTCCAAGTAGGCCGACCGCTGACCTTTATTTTTCAGATCAGGTTCCGCGGAAGTGCGGCCCTCTGTCTGTTTTTTCTAATCACAGGTCATGGGGAGGGGTCTTCTCGTCCAGTTGCGCTTAACGGGTCGACCCTAGATTCTCTTAAGAACCGCAGCGAATGCTACACGACCTGTTGTCATACAGTCGCATTCCACAGCAACTCTCACACTCCTCATAAAGCGAATTTGGCCTTCACCCTGTTCAGAATGAAAGCGGCAAGGTATTATGGACCGGGAGACGTGCGCGTTGAGCAGATTGAAGAACCTGAAGCAAAGGAAGGGCAGCTCAAAGTCAAGGTTTGTGGGTTTCTGAATCTCTAAGTTTGTTTCAAGTACAGTCAGATCCAATCTCACGAATTCATCTTTCAACGTTTAGGTTGCCTGGTATGCGTTTTGAAAGCTCTTTAGATGTAGTTCAGGCTCATCATACATACTTTGCGACCGTAGGAATGGCAGTAGGTTCAATACTAATCACAGGAGAAGATCTTAGTAACCGTTTGATCAGTCTGTGGAAGCGACCTTCACGCCTATCTCATGCCAGTCCCGAAATTCCCCACAACCACGGAGGCCAATGAATTAACTGGAGAAACCCTTCCTGTCACCCTTGGACATGAGTGTGTTCTATGATCAATTCTGAAGTCAAGTCATTATTCAGAAATCCAGATTCTCAGGTACCATCGTTAGTTTGGGACCCGGCGTCGATGGGAACAATTGGAAGATCGGGCAGAACGTTACAATGTAGGCCTGTATACAGTAAGACGCTGAAGATGTACCAATATTTTGTAGCGAGCCCGTCATCTCGTGCCTGAAAACTCACTCATGCACGTATTGTGCCTCCGGCGCTAGAAATCTCTGTCGATCTTCTAATTTCATTGTATGTCCTTCCGATTGCACAGCTTTATATTCGCATTAGCTAACCCAGTCCTTGAATATCAGGGAATTGGCGGATGGGGTGGCGGCCTCGCCGAGTACATTGCTGTAGATACCAAATATGTGCACATCCTGCCAGCCGGTGTATCTCGTAACTCGTTTTATTCATTCGATTTGCCGAAATTCACGACGGTAATTCATAGTTGAGATAGGAGCGGTCATTGAACCCCTCGCTGTTGCATATTACGCTGTCAAGAGATCTGGGTTCAAGCCGGGTCAGACTGCCCTGGTTGTGGGTGCAGGCCCAGTGCGTTTCTACTCTTTTCGATTAACATCACTGCTTGATTTTCTTATACCTATCAGATCGGGCTGTTCCTTCTCAAAGTATTGAGGTATATCGTCTTTACAGCAATTACTTGAATTCATGATTTCCAACTTATCTATCTTTAGATCCATCGACCCTTCTACGACTATTTTGATATCAGAGCCTGCACTCATTCGGCGCACGCTTGCGTTGAAGCACGGTGCCACACACGCACTCGATCCTCTCTCTCTTTCTGCCTCCGGATCACCATCGGTCTCTGCAATTCCAAACGCAGTCCTACAAGCCACCCATGGCATCGGCGTGGATGTCGCGTTCGACGCTGCGGGGATACAGGCAAGCATCGATGCTGCATTAATGAGCTTGCGTCCCAGGGGTATATTCGTTAATGTTGCGATCTGGGAGGCGGACCCCCGCATCAGCATGAATCTGATTCTACTCAAGGAAATCACGGTTACAGGTGAGCGCCCGTTGACGTAAAATATTGCTGTGAGTCAAACACCGGGAGCTGAGTGGTTTTTCAGGCACTATAGCGTACAGCCAAATACATCCTGAGCTGCTCGAGGCTGTGGCAGCTGGCAAGTTTCAGGATGTCGAAGAATTAATCACGAGCAGGATCGCGATCGAAGACGTCGTAGAACAAGGCTTTATGGCATTACTCAACGACAAGGCTAAACAAGGTACGCTTTGTGGGCTCAAAGAACAAAAGCATCCTGGCCATGTACTAATTCTGTACATAATGCAGTGAAAATCCTTGTTCATCCCTAGAGACGAGTACGGCGTTGTGCGTATATGTAACTGTAACGGTGTCTATGTACAAAGGTCGGGTCCCGTTCCGCCTACCCCATATGTATAATATAAGCCTGCAGGCAGGATACAACGTTTCAGATCGCAGGATATATAAGTAAATGAGTGTGTCAGTGGCAAACAATTGCGTGCCATCTCGGATCCCTTGCTGTCTACTCTCCATACCATGTCGACCTCACCAAAGACAGCTTTCATATCAGGTCCAATCGACTGCAAACCTGACTACTTCTCACTATACTACCAAGAGAAAATCATAACCGCTATCTCTAAGGAAGATTCATTCGTGCTGGCTGGAGCTTCTGGGATTGACAGGATTGCTCTTCGATTCCTCATAGGAAGACGTCTCCCACCTTCAAAGATCACCATGTACCTCACAAAATCAGAACGTCTCGAACTCGAATCTCTCGTCAAGTGGCTGGAGAATCAAGGAGGAAACATCAAAGTAGAAGGAGAGACCACGACCGACAGAAATACCGCCATGACTCGGGATTCGCACTACGATATCTTGCGGTGCATGACTGTTCCAGAGCAAAGAGAATATTATGGAAACAAGTACCGTGCTAGGATAACTCCTGAGGAGTTGAATGAGAGAAGGAGGAAGGGGTTGCCTTTGGGAATGTTCAAGAGCACTGTCGACACATTTGTAGACGATAAACCGCGGAAAGATAGGGAGAAGCCGCAGTCACGTAGGAGTGCTCTATTCGAATTTCTGACGGAGGCATGCCGGGCAATCTGTTGATACTCATGGAATCATACCAAAAGGGCGACCCAGTCTATCTTCTAGTGCAACACCTCTTCAATTGTTTTGTTCTCTTGTAGGATCAGGCAGACACACTCACCTAATATACATAACTCCATATTTGATAGTAATCCAAAACACGCCCAGAGTTCTCTTCACAAACGTGTTGACGACGCGCCTACGAAAGGCTTGCCACGCCCCCGCCATCCCTTTGGTACTTTCCCCGAGGCAACGTCAGGCATATATCCGATGAGCCCATGATTGACATGAAAAGACAAGCCCAACCTCCTTCTCTCGTTTTTCTCCGTCGCGCTCACCCTGGGTAATACAAATCTGCGTATAATTCCCTCTGTTCCTCGATTGGCATATACCTAAAAACATTGTGCTCCGACTCCCAAGTCATCGCAGCATCCCGGGCCCCCCTATGTGCTCCCCTCAACTTTGCTTTCCCCCCAAAGATTCAAAGAACCATTGAAATTGAGATGTTACTTTAAAGCGCTCGAACTTGGCGAGGTAGACAACCATTCTGAATATATCGAGTCCCTTGTTGACAAGATATCTTAGGGAGTCTGAATCTATGCCACGTGAAGGTCCTGTCATGAAAGAATGAATGGCCTGCGGAATAGTTGTGTCGATTTTGTGCCGGCGGTGCAGGGGGAAATAATTGGGTCCTGGTGCGATTGGCCCCTGATATGAGGGCCATCGTTGAACTGTTCTTCGGCTCACAATGTTAAGACATGTGTATAGATTATGGTGTAGGGCTGAGCGGTGGTTGAAGCAGAAGGCCGCGATTGAACAATAGAGAGCCGATATTTGTCAGTTGAACAAGATGGAATCGTTTGCAACATTTGCTTCAAACACCACTCAGAGAGTAGTCGCTGTTAGCTTGACTCATCATCAAGTTGTAGCCCACTAGTAGTAGAAACCCGGCAGCGCGTGATACCTCCGGCCGCTTCTATGTAAAGTCGCTACCGTTGTCGGTACAACTGTGGCTGTACTCGGACGTCGCGCCAAGGTTTAACTTCAGTTGCAAGATGGGGAAGTTCTCTAGCAGTGGCGTAAATGGCCTCGCAGCTTGAACAGCTACTGCTGAATTTCCTGTTTTGCCACTTGGCCGTGTATGAAGAAATTAACCTGTATCGGGTTACTCTCCGGAACAGGTGTTCAGGGATTGGAATGGCTGTGTAACATCACTCGACAGCAAAGACAAACAAGGTATGGTTTATGGGCGCAGAGAACAAAAGCCACCTGGCCATGTCCTGATTTAGTACATAATGCAATGAAGATCCTTGTTCATCCCTAGAGACGAGGACGGCGTTGTGCGTATACGTACTTGTAACGGTGTCAAGGTCCTACCCGATTTGTATAATGCCTGCAGGCAGGTTAAGTACTCGTTTCGGATCGCAGAATGTGTGTATATGAGTAAATGATTGTTTCTGTGGCAAACCATTGCATTCCATCTCGATTCCCCTCGTTGTCTGCTCTCCATACCATGTCGACCCCAACGAAGGCGAATGTAGCTTTTATATCAGGTCCAACCGACTGCAGATCTGACTACTTCTCGGAACACTACAAAGACATAAT